GTCATCCACACTGGGGAGAAGCCCTTTGAGTGCCTGGAGTGCGGGAAGGCCTTCAACCACAGGTCGTACCTCAAGAGGCACCAGAGGATCCACACTGGGGAGAAGCCCTATGTGTGTGGCGAGTGTGGAAAGGCCTTCACCCACTGCTCTACTTTCATCTTGCACAAAAGGGCCCACACTGGAGAAAAACCCTTTGAGTGCAAAGAATGTGGGAAAGCCTTTAGCAATCGTGCAGACCTCATCCGACACTTCAGCATCCACACTGGAGAGAAGCCCTATGAGTGCACGGAGTGCGGGAAGGCCTTCAACCGCCGGTCAGGGCTCACGAGGCACCAGCGGATTCACAGCGGAGAGAAGCCCTATGAATGTGTCGAGTGTGGGAAAACCTTCTGCTGGAGCACCAACCTCATCCGACACTCTATCATCCACACCGGAGAGAAGCCCTATGAGTGCAGTGAGTGTGGAAAAGCCTTCAGTCGCAGCTCGTCCCTCACTCAGCATCAGAGGATTCATACTGGGAGAAACCCTGTCCGTGTAACCGAAGTGGGAAGACCCTTCACGAGCGGGCAGTCCTCAGTCAACCTCCAAGAGCTCCTGTTGGGGAAAGACTTCTTGAATGTAACCACTGAGGAAACTTCTTACTCAGAATCTGATCGTTCATACCAAAGAGAACCCCCTCAGTTTCCTTCCCGATGAGAAACCCTCTGTTGCAGGACATCATTTGTCATCTGAGGAGTCAGAAGGGAAAGTTATCCCATCTGGAGCCTTATCCTGTATCTGAGAATTCATCCAGGGAGAGACCCAGTGATTATGTGCACATAGGAAAACCTCCAGCTACATGTTTTTCCTTGTTTTACACCGCAGTAATATCTCAGGAATTTTTTTTTTCTTTTCTTTTCTTTTTTTTTTTTTTTAAGAAAGAGAAAATGAACTGTAAACACACATTTTCTTTCAGACTTCCTTCCCAAGCCTTTGGCACTTTGTCATGGCATCCCTTGTTTACTTGGCAGGGGCGGGGTTTGTTTTAGGGATAAAGGACTCAGACTGCTATGTGTCTTGTATATACATTCCTTGCTGTCCAGTGTCAAGAGAGTTAATTGAAGGCAGGTTTGGAAACTTCAGGAACATCTTTGTTCTAAAACACCGTCTCTGTTCTTAAGGAGCTTCATCTTTGTGAGAAATACAAAGGCTGGAACCGTCAAACACCTTTCTGTTGAGGAGATAAGAACACACATATGAATGGGCACATGTTGTTGCACTGGTTAAAACTGTTTAAGGCTTTGATTTAAAAAAAAAAGAAAGAAAGAAACTTCATGTGGTTTTAAGGAGCTGATACTTAGACTTTTTCTCGGTCCTGTACTATTGGTTTACTTGATGGCTGTAATTAGATGGTAAATCTTTGAGTTGTGTAAAATGATTTCTCTCTCTTTATTGTTTTTATTTAAAACTGATTTAGCATTCTTCATTACTTTGAATTTCCACATAAAGTTTTGGAGAAGTTTGTCTATTTTTATGAAAAAAATCTGTTGAATTTCGATAGAAATTGAGTTAAATTTTCAGATCAATTTGTTGAGAATTCACATCATTATGAACACAGTATGTTCATACTTAACCCAAACTCTGTTTGTTTAAGTATCATTTGATTTACTTCATCACCCTTTGTATAAACTTCAATGATAGGTCCTGTATGGATTTTATAAGGTTTATATCAAGGTGTTTTTTTACCTTTTATTATAAATGGCATTGATTTTTAAACTTTCCATTTCCACACAAGTTTTAGTAGTATGCAGAAATGTAATTAAAATTTGGATGTTGTTTTGGTATCCTGCACCCTTGCTGAACGGTAGCCATTTATTTGTTGTGATAGGATGCTTGGGGTTAGAAAACATAGAAATATCATCCACAAAAGAGATAGTTTTATTTCTTCCCTACCATATGTATGCCTAGTATTTTCTTTTCTTATCTGCTGTGCTAGCTAGGATTTCCAATATGATGTTGAACAGTAGTAGTAGTAAGAAAGGATATTCTTGTCTGGTTTCTGATATTAGGGGGAAACATACAACTTTTCATCGAGCATCATGTTAGTATAAGGTTTTCTTTATAGAAGTTTCTTATCAAGTTTAGGAAGTTTCCTATATTCCTAATTTGCTGGGGGGGGTTGTTGTTATTATGAATCAGTGTTCAATTTTATCACACACTTTTTCTCTACCAATTGATATGATCTTGTGTTTTTTTCTTCTGTAACTTGTTGATAGGATGTATTACATTAATTTGAGTTTTGAATGTGAAATCAACTTTGTGTTCTTGAAATAAGCCCTACTTGGTTTAGAACAGAATTGTTATTCTATTATAGTATTCTGTATACTAGTATGTTGAGGAAGTTTTCCTGCAATTTCATTAGTGGTAATGATACATAGATTTCTTTCTTTCACTCATTTTTGTTTGTTTTGTTTTTTGTCTTTTGTTTTGTACTGTCATTGGTTTCGGTCTGTAGGTGATAGTGACCTCCCCAAATGTATTGGTAGTAGTCTTATTATGTGGAAGATAGTATATAGAGTTGGTTTTATTTTTAATGTTTGGTGGCATTCTCCAGTGAAACATTTATGCCTGGAGATTTTTCTTTGGATGCTTTTAGTTATGTATTTATTTTATTTGATATGTATAGAACTGTTCAGAATGTTTAATATTGGATGAATTTTCATAGTTGTCCGTTTTTAGGAATTGTTCCATTTCATCTAAATTTTCTTATTTGTTTCAAGTATTCCTTTATTATATTGTTTATGATGGAAGAATCTCTACTCATATCTCCTGTTAGATTCCTGATATTGGAAACACATCAACTCTCTTTTTATCTTTGTTAATCTTCTTAGATATTTATCATTTTTTTGGATCTTTTTAAAGAAGCAGCACTTTATACCACTGCTTTTTCTCTCTTACCTTTTTGTTCCCGATTTCACTGATAACTGTATTGACCTTTATTATATCAGTTCTTCCATCTGCTTTGGTGGTACTTTCCTCTGTAGTTTCTTGGGATGGATGCTTAGATTACTGATTTGAGATTTTTTGCTTTTCTCATGTAAGCATTACGTTCTATAAATTTTCCTCACGGCACTTTCCTCACAAGTTGTAATACATTTTAACTACATTTCATTTGGTTCTAAAAATTTCTTTATTCAAAACTTCCTCTCTAACCTATAAAGTATTTAGAAGTGTATTGTTTAATTTCCTAGTGTTTGGGGTATTTCATGCTTTTTGTTAATGGCTTCTAGTTTGTTTTATATTTGATCTAGTTGTTTAAATTTGTAGAGGTTTGCTTTATGACCCCAAATATGGTCTGTCTTGATGAATGTTTATAAAGTTGCTTGAGAAGAATGTGTATTCTGCTGTTATTGGATGGAGTTTATGTAAATGTCCACATGATCCTGTTGGTTGATGATGTTTTCGGATTTTCTGTATCCTTGCTGATTTTCTGTTTGGTATTGCCCTCAATAGCTGAGAGGGGGATATTGAAGTCCTGAAGTATGATCGGGAATTGTCTGTTTCTCCTTTTAAATTCTACCAGTTTTTGCTTTGAGCGTTTCAAAGCTCTGTTGTCGGTGTGCACACATGTAGGATTGCTCTGTCATTTTGGTGTGTTGACTTTTTTATTATTATGTAATGTTTCTTTTTGCCCCTGTAAATTTTCTTTGGAGTATATTTTATCTGATACTAATATAGTCACTGTTGTATTTGGGGGGTAATATTTTGCAGTTTGAGGTTTATATGGTTCCATAATTTTATTTTCAACCTTACGTGTGTTGTTATATTTGAAGTGAGTGTCCAGGAATAGCACATACTCAGGTCATGCTTTGTCTTTATCCATTCTGCTGATTTCTTTCTTAAATTGCTGTATTTAGACCATTTAAGTTTAAATAATTACTGATACGTTAGGGCTTGAGTTTGCCATTTTATTGTTTGGCCTTTCTTTGTTCGCTGTTTATTTTTGCTCTGTTTTTTGGGGTTTTTTCTTTGTTTGTTTTGCCTTCCTGTGGGTTAACTTTAATTTTTAGAATTCCATTTGCTATAAATATGTTTCTGAGAATATCTCTTTGTATTTTAGTAGTCATTTTAGGTATTGTTTTTTACACATATAATTTATCACAGCCTGTGGCATCGACGCCCTAGCGCTTTGATATGTAGAAACCTGGCTTTATCTGCCCCTTCACATTCCCCACTCTCCAGTATAATTGTGTTACGTATTTCCTCTTTGTGCACTGAGCATATCAGATGATGTTTTTTGCTTCAACGAGGAATTTTTACAAAACCCATGAGAAGTATAGTCTGTTTACCTCTACTTGTATCCTTTCCATTGTCCTTTTGTCTTGAAGATTTTTTTCTATTAACAATTCCTTTCTCTTTTGCAAACTCCTACACAGATCTTCCCTCACTTGTGGGGTTACATGTCTGTAAACCCACTGTGAGTTGAAAATTACAGTGGTCAGAAATGCATTTAGTACACCAGCCCTCCTGACAATTGTAGCGTAACCTCGCCTGGGTTACCCGTCCTCAGAACGCTTACATTCGTTTACAGGTGGGCAGAGTCATCTGACACAAAACCTATTTTATAACGAAGTGTTGAATATCTCATGTAATGTATTGAATATTATACTGAAAGTGAAAAACCATGATTGTGTGGGTACTTATCATTAACATACACAGCTGGGCCTAACGAACGTTTGAGGTGGTAAGCTACAGTTAATTTGTGGATAATGGGGTTCCTACAGGGACAGGATCATCCATTTCTCTTTCTTGTGATGAGGCTGAAGAATAGTGGGTAGAGGGCACCAAGGCGTCAGGACTCGTTGAGGGTTTAGCCAGCAGAGTTCTTTAGAGGGATACCAAGTTTTGACTGTGCGGTTTGTTTCTTCTTTTCATTGTATGGGTTTTTTTAAGATTTTATTTAGTTATTTCACAGACGAGATCACAAGTTGGCAGAGAGGCAGGCAGAGGCGGGGTGGGGGGGGAGCAGGCTCCCCGCTGAGCAGAGAGCCCGATGTGGGACTCGAACCCAGGACCCTGAGATCATGATCTGAGCTGAAGGCAGAGGCTTAACCCACGGAGCCACCCAGGCGCCCCTCATTACATGGGTTTTTTTTTCATTTTTTTAAGATTTTATTTATTTATTTGACAGACAGAGATTACAAGTAGGCAGAGAGGCAGGCAGAGAGAGAGAGGGGGAAGCAGGCTCCCTGCTGAGCAGAGAGCCCGATGTGGGTGGGGCTCGATCCCAAGGACTCTGAGATCATGACCTGAGCTGAAGGCAGAGGCTTTAACTCACGGAGCCACCCAGGCGCCCCTCATTACATGTTTTTGTGTAGCAAGCAGGAGCATCCTGTGTCTGCCCATCAGCTCTAGGGAGTGTCTTGCGACTGACATCCATCTGTTCTGACATCCCGATGGCACTGCTGATAGCAGCAGAGTCCTCCGTCAGTGTTTGCTGTGACTTTCTTGGTGCTTCTGTGTGACTTCTGTGTCACCTGCTTTTTTCTTTGTCCTTCCAGTTTGATTAGCGGAGTCCCCAGGAGAAAGCTCTTCTGCCTCAATGCCAGCAAGCTCAGGAATATCCTCATTGATGTGGCTGTTTGCCAGGCACTAACGTCTTGTTTCTCTTAACATTCCTCAACAGCAGACTCTGTTACAGCCTCTGAATGTGTTCGCGTATAGCTTCAGTCGTGCATTGCTGCGTGACCCCTCGTTCTGTAGTGATATTCTGGAGAGCATTTAGAATGTGAAGATCTTTCTAAAACAGGAGAATTTGGCCAGATTGAGTCACTTCAACAGCCCACACAAATGGCATAAATAGTGTACTTTGAACATAGCTGTGGCACGTTGGTGCACGGATTGAACG